GTACCTGGAATTTATCACTGTTAAACATCATGTTATTTTCTGCTGCCCAATCGAAAACTTTGTTGATATCTGCTTGTAATTTTTCAATGTCTTCAGCAGAGGTAATTTTCATGCTGATTTTTGTGTCATCTGCAAAGGACGACACGAAGCTGTGACTTGTATTTTTGTCTATATCTGATATGAGAATAAGGAACAGCAGCGGTGCAAGGACTGTACCTTGAGGTACAGAGCTTTTAACTGCGCTTGGACTTGATTTTATCTGATTGACTGTTACTCTTTGTGTTCTGTTCGACAGGAAATTGAGTATCCAGCGTCCTACTTTTCCAGTTATTCCCATTGACCTCATTTTGTGAGCTATCACCCCATGGTCACATTTGTCGAACGCCTTTGCAAAGTCTGTGTATACAACATCTGCATTTTGCTTTTCTTCTAGGGCTTCTGTGATTTTGTCATAGTGGTTGAGTAACTGTGACAGACAGGATCTTCCCGCTCTAAATCCATGTTGTCCTGGGTTGTGTAGCTCATTATTTTCCATAAAACTAGAAATTTGATTCCTAATCACTCTTTCAAACACTTTTATTATGTGTGATGTTAGTGCAACTGGCCTATAATTTTTTGCCAAGGCTTTACTCCCCCCCTTGTGCAACGGAGCTATATCTGCAGATTTAAGTGCTGCTGGTATCTCCCCTGTATCCAGGCTCTTTCTCCATATTACGCTGAGTGCTCTCGCTACTGGTACTTTACATTTCTTTATGAATATTGAATTCCATGAGTCAGGCCCAGGAGCTGAGTGCATAGGCATATTATCAATTTCTCTTTCAAAGTCTTCCGAGTTTGTGGTAATATCCGTTATATTATCTGCAGCTTGAATGTCATTCATAAAGAAGCTGTCTGGGTCATCAACTTTCATGTTGTTTATTGGTGTGCTAAACATAGCCTCATACTGGCTTCTTAGAATTTCACTAATCTCTTTGTTGTCCTCTGTGTACGTACCTTCATTTGTAATTAACGGTCCAATACTGGTCGAGGTTTTGGATTTTGATTTTGCGTATGTGAAAAAATATTTCGGATTTTTCCTTATCTCTTGTATAGCTTTCTGTTCCAATTCCATTTCCTCAGACTCATATGATCGCTTCAACGTTTGTTCTATTTCCTCAATCTCCCTGCTTAGGCTTGTTTTCCTTGCTTGTGATAGTTGTGTCTGCCTAAGCATTTCCGTTATTTTTTCCTTCTCCTGTACAGTCGTCTCCGTTCTCTTTCTAGAGTGGTCCTCTTTCTGCCCCTCCTCACAGGCACGTGCTTCAAGCAGACCTTGTAAGCTTCAGCTGTCAGTTGAGCTATTCCCTGTGTGGGAGTTTTGTCGCTTAAGACCGTCTCCCATTGAATGGTTGCAAGGTCTACATTTATTTTTTCCCAGTCAATCCTCTTATTGTTGAAATTGAATTGATTGAATTCTCGCTTGTTAGGTCTCTTAGACCTACTACCGTTATTTATGCTAGTTCGCACTTCAATGAGCTTATGGTCTGAGTATGAAGTATCTGAGATTGTGATATCCCTGATTAGTTCATCATTGTTTGTGAATAACAAGTCTAGTGTGTTTTCGTTCCTAGTTGGTTCTGTAATCTGTTGATTGAGCGAGAATTTGTCACAGAATCTCAAAAGTTCTCTAACCTGTGGTTGGTTATTTCCCGGGTCATTCCCTGCTATGATATTTGTGTTTGCCGTTCTCCATCTTAGACTCGGTAAATTGAAATCTCCAAGAAAGATAATATCTGGAGCTGGGTTTGCTAGGTTGTCAAGTATGTTCTCTATTTTGTGCATCTGCTCTGTGAATTCCTCAATCGTTGTATCTGGCGGTTTATATATTAGAATAATAATTAAGTTTAGTTTCTCTACCTTCATTCCAAGTACCTCTACCACCTCATTAGTTGAATTTAGTAGTTCTGTGCATACCAGGTCTTCTTTAATATACAGACCTACTCCTCCATTTGACCTAGTTTTTCTATCACATCTATATAGATTATAATTTGGAATCCAGATTTCACCATCCATGTAATCTTTTGTATGAGTTTCCGTGAATGCCCCAAATATTGAGTTTGACTCTAATAGAAGGCCATTTATGAACTTAACTTTATTTCTTGACTTTGGCTTTAAACCTTGAATGTTTGCAAATATGAATGATTGTCCATATTGTGTGTCACTTCTGGAAGGTTTTGGTAGTTCTCCCTCCTCTCTACCCTGACCCAGGGTGTGTTGTTGTGGCAATGGTTTGTCCAGTTTTGGAAGTGATACTGGGGAGTGTGGTAGTCTCTGTGTAGTTGGGGGGTGTAGTATGTGTGGGCTTGATGCCGAAAGGGCTTGAGTCGGGGGCGAAAGAGCTGAAGCTCGACTTCCTTACGCACAATTAGGAGAGTACATAGGTGAGGGGAGAAGGCCAGATGGAGGGTACAAGAAGCCATGTGCTTGAGTCTTACGGGATCACCATAGTCCGTGCTACTTGGAACTTTTTGTTCCAAGTAGCGGATCTTAAACAACAACCAACAACACAAAGTCAAGACAACACTAAGATTAATAACACACACAAACTAAGAAGGGAGCCGGTCGGCCGAGCGGACAGCACGCTGGACTTGTCATCCTGTGGTCCCGGGTTCGATCCCAGGCGCCGGCGAGAAACAATGGGCAGAGTTTCTTTCACCCTATGCCCTTGTTACCTAGCAGTAAATAGGTACCTGCGTGTTAGTCAGCTGTCACGGGCTGCTTCCTGGGGTTGGAGGCATGGTCGAGGACCGAGCCGCGGGGACACTAAAGCCCCGAAATCATCTCAAGATAACCTAAGATAGCATCTGTCAGGGGGGGCCTGATGGCTGTGTGGACAGCGCTCGGGATTCGTAGTCCTAGGGTTCGATCTACGGCAGAGTTTCTTTCATCCTGATGCCTCTGTTTATCTAGCAGTAAATAGGTTCCTGGGAGTTAGACAGCTGTTACGGGCTGCTTCCTGGGAGTGTGTACTTACCATTTGTACTCACTTAGTTGTGCTTGAGGGGCTTGAGCTTTTGGCTCTTTGGTCCCGCCTTCCAACCGTCCTGATCTTCCTGTGTGTGTGTGTGTGTGTGTGTGTGTGTGTGTGTGTGTGTGTGTGTGTGTGTGTGTGTGTGTGTGTGTGTGTGTGAAAAAAATAAAACCAGTTGATTGACTGACAGTTGAGAGGCGGTCCCGAAGAGCCAGAGCTCAACCCTCGCAACCACAACTAGGTGAACACACACACACACACACACACACACACACACACACACACACACACACACACACACACGGTAGCGGAAAGATGTGGGTCCCTTGCTGTTGTGTCCTTAATGAGTCATGCTACTGTAACTTGCCCCCTCACCCTACCCCCCCCCTGCTGCTGCTGTTCCTCTCCCCCCCCTATTCCTCCCCTACCCCTCCCCTCTCACCCCCCCTGCCAAGCCCTACCCTCTAACCCTTACAACCACAACCCTCTACTACCCTTAACTCTGAGACTCTTACTTTTTACTCTACAGCAACGAGGAGGCCTAGTCAACGACCGGGCCGCGGGGACGCTAAGCCCCGAAAACACCTCAATGTAACCTCCAGGAGATAATACCGTTTTTTTTATTAGATTTTTTATTTATCATGAAATTATCAGTAGAAAGTGCTATATAGATTTATTTACTAAGTGAACAGATATATCATGTGAAAGGCTGCATGCCCAACCGTTTCTGTCGTGGCGGGGAAGGTGTTGTTTGTGTGGTCTTAGCTGGTCTCTATATACAGAGACTGTGGGGGTGGAGACCGTGGTAGAGTGACACAGTGAGTGACATTGTGAGTGACACAGTGAGTGACACACTGAGTGACACTGTGAGTGACACATCGTGTCAGCAAGGCGGACAGCCCGCCTGCTTTTATGCCTCTCACTGTATTTCCCACTTCTAAACTTCCCTTCACCTATGCCTCTCCTTCCTCTTTACTAAAAAAAAAAAAACAGTGCTTGTCATCCTCTTGTCAGTCCACTCCTCTCATGGTCACCTCCACCCCCCCCCCCCGGTACCTGTCACTTCCTCTACTGTCATGAGTACCACCACTACTACCACCACCACTACCACCACTACTACCACCACCACTACCACCACTACTACCACCACCACTACCACCACTACTACCACCACTACCACCACCACTACTACCACCACCACCACTACCACTACCACCACCACTACCACCACTACTACCACCACCACTACCACCACTACTACCACCACCACCACCACTACCACCACCTCGACAATAGCAACAACTTCAGACAGAGCCGCAGCCGGCAATTACCAGCCCACCTGGTCATCAACAGGTGGGCGCCACTTTTTTAATGAAATTGTGTTAAATGGATTAACGACGCGCGACATACCAATTACTGCCGTGAGAGAGAGAGTGAGAGTGAGAGAGAGTGAGAGAGAGTGAGAGTGAGAGAGAGTGAGAGTGAGAGTGAGAGTGAGAGTGAGAGAGAGAGAGAGAGAGAGAGAGAGAGAGAGAGAGAGAGAGAGAGAGAGAGAGAGAGAGAGAGAGAATAACCCTTATCCCAGCGCCCACCCAACCTCAAGTCCTACACTAATGTCGCGGTTCCTTCCAGAACATAATTAAGTTCCAAATCACAATACATCAATTAATCACGCCCCCCCCGGTTCAATACCCACCACCACCCTCGAGTGTGTCCGGCCTTCCCGGCTGCTTCTTTCTCTATATACCCGTGCTGAACCCGTATACCCACTACCGGTATTCCGGTGGTGGACCGTGTACGTGGGCCAGTGGTGGTGGACCAGTGGTGGTGGACCGTGTACGTGGACCAGTGGTGGTGGGCCAGTGGTGGTGGACCGTTGGTGGTGGATCAGTAGTGATGGTTGATCTCTGTCTGCGTCGCTCTCGGAGACGAGCCGCCTGTCACCACGGCCAGCAGTCAGTACCACAGCGGAAGTGGTCCCCCGGTATTGTCACTGGGGTAGGGGCCAGCTGGCAGTAGACCTGCGGTAGTGGGCCGGGGGTGGAGAGTGGGCCGGGGGTGGAGAGTGGGCCGGGGGTGGAGAGTGGGCCCGGGGTGGAGAGTGGGCCGGGGGTGGAGAGTGGGCCCGGGGTGGAGAGTGGGCCGGGGGTAGAGAGTGGGCCGGGGGTGGAGAGTGGGCCGGGGGTGGAGAGTGGGCCGGGGGTGGAGAGTGAGCCCGGGGTGGAGAGTGGGCCGGGGGTGGAGAGTGAGCCCGGGGTGGAGAGTGGGCCGGGGGTGGAGAGTGGGCCCGGGGTGGAGAGTGGGCCGGGGGTGGAGAGTGGGCCCGGGGTGGAGAGTGGGCCCGGGGTGGAGAGTGGGCCAGGGGTGGAGAGTGGGCCAAGGGTGGAGAGTGGGCCGGGGGTGGAGTGTGGGCCGGGGGGTGGAGAGTGGGCCGAGGGGTGGAGAGTGGGCGGGGGTGGAGTGTGGGCCGGGGGGTGGAGAGTGGGCCGGGGGCGGAGAGTGGGCCGGGGGCGGAGAGTGGGCCGGGTGTTGAGAGTGGGCCGGGGGTAGAGAGTGGGCCGGGGGTGGAGAGTGGGCCGGGGGTGGAGAGTGGGCCGGGGGTAGAGAGTGGGCCGGGGGTAGAGAGTGGGCCGGGGGTAGAGAGAGGGCCGGGGGTGGAGAGTGGGCCGGGGGTGGAGAGTGGGCCGGGGGCAGAGAGAGGGCCGGGGGTGGAGTGGGCCGGGGGTAGAGAGTGGGCCGGGGGTGGAGAGTGGGCCGGGGGTGGAGAGTGGGCCGGGGGCGGAGAGTGGGCCAGGGGTGGAGAGTTAGGCGGGGGTGGAGAGTGGGCCAGGGGTAGAGAGTGGGCCGGGGTTGAGAGTGGGCCGGGGGAACAGCGTGACGGAGGGGGGGGGGGGTTTGTGGAGGCCCAGCGCCTCCCTACCCAGATATTAATTAAGGTTAGCTTCGGTCATCAAGCAACTAAATCTGTGTTTAGCATGGAAATATTTGAGCAGGTTTTTGTATATAGGTGAGTGGGGGGGGGGGGGGAAGGTAGAGATGTGGGTGGGGGAGGGGGTGTTGGAGTTCTGGGGAAGGGGGGGGGTGATGTGAGTATGGGGTTCAGTGACTGGGGAGTGAGAGAGGGGGGGGGAAGAGTGGGGGAAAAAAGTTGAAAAAGTCGTATCTGTAGATCTGTTAGAGGGAGAGAGAGAGAGAGAGAGAGAAACTCTACCAAGAACTATAAAGTCTGGTGTTTTGATAATGTCGGCTGGTCACTCATCAGTAAACCGTAGTACTGCACACAAATGATCGCCACATACAAAATACTCAAGTTCTGTGTCAGGATCGATACCAAATTGGAATGCACTAAGAGATGAAGTGATGGAAACAGACTCCATACATAGTTTTAAATGTAGATATCATACGCGCACACACACACACACACACACACACACAGACACAGACACAGACACACAGACACACAGACACACAGACACACAGACACACACAGACACACACAGACACACACAGACACACACAGACACACACAGACACACACAGACACACAGACACAGACACAGACACAGACACAGACACAGACACACACACACACACACACACACACACACACACACACACACACACACACACACACACACACACACACACACACACACACACACACAGCCTGGCGTGTATGACAGCATGGAGCCGTGAACCCTGTGTGGTGAGTGTGGCCATGACTTGATCACTTCATCACGGTCTGCAGGAGGTCCCCGCCCTCCACCACCCACCACTGCTGGGTACTACACTGTCTCACCCTCCACCACCCTCCACTGCTGGGTGCTACACTGTCTCACCCTCCACCACCCACCACTGCTGGGTACTACACTGTCTCACCCTCCACCACCCACCACTGCTGGGTACTACACTGTCTCACCCTCCACCACCCTCCACTGCTGGGTGCTACACTGTCTCACCCTCCACCACCCACCACTGCTGGGTACTACACTGTCTCACCCTCCACCACCCTCCACTGCTGGGTGCTACACTGTCTCACCCTCCACCACCCACCACTGCTGGGTACTACACTGTCTCACCCTCCACCACCCACCACTGCTGGGTGCTACACTGTTTCACCCTCCACCACCCACCACTGCTGGGTACTACACTGTCTCACCCTCCACCACCCACCACTCCTGGGTACTACACTGTCTCACCCTCCACCACCCACCCTTAGGCTGTGCTCGTCCAACTCCTAAAACCCAATTGTAACTATTACCGAACTGGAACGTCGTCGTCCCTTCACTTCCTAGTGTGTGGTTTGGTCAACACCGAACTGGAACTAAAACAATTGTCTCCAGTATATTTTAATTCTGCATAAAGTTAGGTCTAGGATAGGTTAGGTTTGGTGTTTTGGTCTATTACCAATTATTAGTATTTGTAATGTGGGGGTGAAGTATTTACAGAGTTGCGATTCGAACACAGGTATGGGATGCACTGTTCGAGAAATGTTCGATCATCAGTTCTGAGTCGTGTTTTTCATTCATAAACAAGCAGTTTGGTGGTTAGATTAATGAGCATTTAGCCTTGGTTTATGAGGCCGAGCTGAAGAAGTATATGCTAACAACTCTTGACGGTGTATAACAGGCCACTGGTAACAGGAGAACTGCCAAACATTTCAAAGCCAGCTCATGTATTTACGATACACAAGAAGGGACACAGGAGGCAGTGTCCCTAGCTTGCGCAACATGTATGGTGATTGTGAGAACAAAATATAGTAGAACATCTAGAGAGAAAGAACATCGGAACACATCATCAGCACAGGTTCAGGGATGACAAGTGTTGCCTCACAGACTTTACGTTAATAATATGACCAGGTAACACAAATTAGACAAGAAGAGAGGGCAGACTGCACATTTTTGGATTGCCAGAAAGCCTTTGACTCAGTACTTCATACGAGACTGGTGCTGGATACTCTTGCACTGGTCGCACGTATACATCGTTTTAAACGGATCCTCGACTATGTTCCTGAATTGTGTTCTGATGTTCGCCAGCTCAGCATTGTCTCTCAAGGGATTGTCTTTGTGCGAGCCTTTGGGTCCACCTTCTTTTACTGTTTTAAATTGATCGTTATTCACGTAGTTCCTGTGAACTCCTTACTCCCAGCCTTATGGCACTGTGACAGTCCTCGTGGCACTGTGACAGCCCTCGTGGCACTGTGACAGCCCTCGTGGCACTGTGACAGCCCTCGTGGCACTGTGACAGCCCTCGTGGCGCTGTGACAGCCCTCGTGGCACTGTGACAGCCCTCGTGGCACTGTGACAGTCCTCGTGGCACTGTGACAGTCCTCGTGGCACTGTGACAGCCCTCGTGGCACTGTGACAGCCCTCGTGGCGCTGTGACAGCCCTCGTGGCACTGTGACAGTCCTCGTGGCACTGTGACAGTCCTCGTGGCACTGTGACAGTCCTCGTGGCACTGTGACAGCCCTCGTGGCGCTGTGACAGCCCTCGTGGCGCTGTGACAGCCCTCGTGGCGCTGTGACAGCCCTCGTGGCACTGTGACAGTCCTCGTGGCGCTGTGACAGCCCTCGTGGCGCTGTGACAGCCCTCGTGGCGCAGTGACAGCCCTCGTGGCGCTGTGACAGCCCTCGTGGCGCTGTGACAGCCCTCGTGGCGCTGTGACAGCCCTCGTGGCGCTGTGACAGCCCTCGTGGCGCTGTGACAGCCCTCGTGGCGCTGTGACAGCCCTCGTGGCACTGTGACAGTCCTCGTGGCACTGTGACAGCCCTCGTGGCGCTGTGACAGCCCTCGTGGCACTGTGACAGTCCTCGTGGCACTGTGACAGCCCTCGTGGCACTGTGACAGTCCTCGTGGCACTGTGACAGCCCTCGTGGCACTGTGACAGTCCTCGTGGCACTGTGACAGTCCTCGTGGCACTGTGACAGCCCTCGTGGCGCTGTGACAGCCCTCGTGGCACTGTGACAGCCCTCGTGGCACTGTGACAGCCCTCGTGGCACTGTGACAGCCCTCGTGGCACTGTGACAGCCCTCGTGGCGCTGTGACAGCCCTCGTGGCACTGTGACAGCCCTCGTGGCACTGTGACAGTCCTCGTGGCACTGTGACAGTCCTCGTGGCACTGTGACAGTCCTCGTGGCACTGTGACAGCCCTCGTGGCGCTGTGACAGTCCTCGTGGCACTGTGACAGCCCTCGTGGCGCTGTGACAGCCCTCGTGGCACTGTGACAGTCCTCGTGGCACTGTGACAGCCCTCGTGGCGCTGTGACAGCCCTCGTGGCACTGTGACAGCCCTCGTGGCACTGTGACAGCCCTCGTGGCACTGTGACAGCCCTCGTGGCGCTGTGACAGCCCTCGTGGCACTGTGACAGTCCTCGTGGCACTGTGACAGCCCTCATGGCGCTGTGACAGCCCTCGTGGCACTGTGACAGCCCTCGTGGCACTGTGACAGCCCTCGTGGCGCTGTGACAGCCCTCGTGGCACTGTGACAGCCCTCGTGGCACTGTGACAGCCCTCGTGGCGCTGTGACAGCCCTCGTGGCACTGTGACAGTCCTCGTGGCACTGTGACAGCCCTCGTGGCGCTGTGACAGCCCTCGTGGCACTGTGACAGTCCTCGTGGCACTGTGACAGCCCTCGTGGCACTGTGACAGCCCTCGTGGCACTGTGACAGTCCTCGTGGCACTGTGACCGCCCTCGTGGCACTGTGACAGCCCTCGTGGCACTGTGACAGCCCTCGTGGCACTGTGCACATTCCCAGTGTTCAGCTTCTCTGTATGAGAGAGATTGAAACTTGAAGATTAACAAGAAAATAAATATTACAAAGTTAATGAAATGTTAAAATTAACCCCTCTCCCTCGCCCCTTCTCAACCCCCCCTCCTCCTCCCTCGCCCCCTCTCAACCCCCCCCCTCCCCCTCCCTCGCCCCCTCTCAAGCATCCCCCCTGCCTCGCCCCCCTCTCAAAATATACCCCCCCCCTCGCCTCTTTTCAAAACAATCACCATAAACAGCAACCATTTGTTTTACCAAGAAATACAAGCCAATAACAGCACGCCTGAATTAATTGCCCAGTCCGCTCATCTCTCCTTAACAACCCCCCCCACCGCCACGACCCCCCCCCCCACCGCCCCCTCTTCCCTCCCAGACGACCCCCTCCACCCCTACCCCCTCCAGCTGACAGGGGAGCACATACGCCCCTCTCGCCCCCAGCTCTGACTGACGGGAAGATGGCCAGATAAGCCTCACACGGAGAGAAATGTGGTTCTCGCCCTTACTGTACTCTGCCACAGTGGTAATATTTCCATGCGCTAGTATCTGCCTCTCTACCTCGACCCCCCCCCCCTCCCAACCGTCTGTGTCTACCGTCCCTAATGGTGGCTCCGGGGATCACTGCCCCCCGCAACCCAGTTTCTTACCTGGTTGTCTTAGCTAGGTGGTGCGATGGCTCATGTGGTCGAAGCTGTTTGGCTAAACTAGATAAGTGTGGGAGACAGTCATTAAGAACCATGATTCAGTCATTAAGAGCCATGATTCAGTCATTAAGAGCCATGATTCAGTCATTAAGACCATGATTCAGTTATTAAGACCATGATTCAGTCATTAAGAGCCATGATTCAGTCATTAAGAGCCATGATTCAGCCATTAAGACCATGATTCAGTCATTAAGAGCCATGATTCAGTCATTAAGACCATGATTCAGTCATTAAGAGCCATGATTCAGTCATTAAGACCATGATTCAGTCATTAAGAGTCATGATTCAGTCATTAAGAGCCATGATTCAGTCATTAAGAGCCATGATTCAGTCATTAAGAGCCATGATTCAGTCATTAAGAGCCATGATTCAGTCATTAAGACCATGATTCAGTCATTAAGACCATAATTCAGTCATTAAGAGTCCTGTTTCAGTCATTAAGACCATGATTCAGTCATTAAGACCATGATTCAGTCATTAAGAACCATGATTCAGTCATTAAGACCATGATTCAGTCATTAAGACCATGATTCAGTCCTTAAGACCATGATTCAGTCATTAAGACCATGATTCAGTCTTTAAGACCATAATTCAGTCATTAAGAGTCCTGTTTCAGTCATTAAGACCATGATTCAGTCATTAAGACCATGATTCAGTCATTAAGAACCATGATTCAGTCATTAAGACCATGATTCAGTCATTAAGAACCATGATTCAGTCATTAAGACCATGATTCAGTCATTAAGACCATAATTCAGTCATTAAGACCATGATTCAGTCATTAAGACCATAATTCAGTCATTAAGAGTCCTGTTTCAGTCATTAAGACCATGATTCAGTCATTAAGAGTCCTGTTTCAGTCATTAAGAACCATGATTCAGTCATTAAGACCATGATTCAGTCATTAAGACTATGATTCAGTCATTAAGAACCATGATTCAGTCATTAAGACCATGATTCAGTCATTAAGACCATGATTCAGTCATTAAGACCATGATTCAGTCATTAAGACCATGATTCAGCCATTAAGAGCCATGATACAGCCATTAAGACCATGATTCAGTCATTAAGACCATGATTCAGTCATTAAGAGCCATGATACAGCCATTAAGACCATGATTCAGTCATTAAGACCATGATTCAGTCATTAAGAGCCATGATACAGCCATTAAGACGATGATTCAGTCATTAAGACGATGATTCAGTCGTTAAGACCATGATTCAGTCATTAAGACGATGATTCAGCCATTAAGACGATGATTCAGCCATTAAGACCATGATTCAGTCATTAAGACCATGATTCAGCCATTAAGAGTCCTGTTTCAGTAATTAAGACCATGATACAGCCATTAAGACCATGATTCAGTCATTAAGACCATGATTCAGTCATTAAGACCATAATTCAGTCATTAAGACCATAATTCAGTCATTAAGAGTCCTGTTTCAGTCATTAAGACCATAATTCAGTCATTAAGAGTCCTGTTTCAGTCGTTAAGACCATAATTCAGTCATTAAGAGTCCTGTTTCAGTCATTAAGACCATGATTCAGTCTCTCGGCTGTCATTAAACCAACCCGTTTTCTCATTCTTTACAGAATCGACCAATCCGTTGAAAATCTGACGTATTAGTAAAAATTAAAGCAGCACGATATTGACGTTTTTGACCATACATCAGCTTCGATCGGTTAGGTAAGTTGCTTGAATTTGTACGAATCTTAGTTAGGCAAAACAGCTGCATTTTTGACGGAGTGATGAGTCGAGAGAACAGGCAACCTTACCTTGAGGTTACCTTAAGGTTACCTTGAGGCTACCTTGAAGCTACCTTGAGGTTACCTTGATGTTACCTTGAGGTTACCTTGAGGCTACCTTGAGGTTACCTTGAGGTTACCTTGAGATGATTTCGTGGCTTTGCGTCCCCGGGGTCCGGTCCTCGACCAGGCCTCCTTTTTGTTACATTCATTACAGGAAGTAGCCCGTAGCAGCTGTCTAACTCCCAGGTACCTATTTACTGCTAGGTGAACAGAGGCATCAGGGGTGAAAGAAACTGCCCATTCGTTTCCTCCTCCACCAGGGATCAAACCCGGAACTTCAGGACTACGAATCCGAAGCGTTGTTCACTCAGCTGTCACGCCTCAACATCTTGAAGGAAACTTATGCAGTAAGAAAATCTTCTTCGTTGATGAGTTTCTTCGTCATAAAGAAGCAGAAGGAAGACTGGCGGTGTCCTGGAGGCCCTTGTAAGCTGCCCACCGCCGTAGGCAAGGTAGGCAAGGTAGGCAGGGCAGACAAGGTAGGCAAGGTAGGCAAGGTTAGGTAAGGTTATCTTGAGGTTATCTTGAGATGATTTCGGGGCTTTAGTGTCCCCGCGGCCCGGTCCTCGACCAGGCCTCCACCCCCAGGAAGCAGCCCGTGACAGCTACTAACACCCAGGTACCTATTTTACTGCTAGGTAACAGAGGCATAGGGTGAAAGAAACTCTGCCCATTGTTTCTCGCCGGCGCCTGGGATCGAACCCAGGACCACAGGATCACAAGTCCAGCGTACTGTCCGCTCGGCCGACCGGCTCCCTAGGCAAGGTTAGGCAAGATAGGCAGGGCACTGAGACAGCCCACAGACAGACAGCCTGGGGCAGGCAGGGCACTGAGACAGCCCACAGACAGACAGCCTGAGGCAGGCAGGGCACTGAGACAGCCCACAGACAGACAGCCTGGGGCAGGCAGGGCACTGAGACAGCCCACAGACAGACAGCCTGGGGCAGGCAGGGCAGGCAAGGTGCATATCTTGTGTTTGTTCCTTGGATCAATGTCTCCGCCACCCGGACCAGTCCTCCTGGTTGGTCTGGTCAACCAGGCTGTTTGACGCCGCTGTTGATAGATTTGTCTCTCAGCGTATCTATTGCAGCTCTATAAGGTAAGGTAATTATCAGGAGAGAGTGCCAAGTCTGGACTAATATATAGCACCTGGAAGGATTATGAAGACAGGATTGGACCGGTGCCCAATCACTTCCACCTCTAGGGATCGAACGCCAACCCTGTAAAACACATGGCCGTTGCTCTACCAATCATTCCCAGCAGACTGACGGACGCGGCATGAGAGCCCCCCCCCCCCCGTACGTCCAGCCCGTCCTCACCATGCATGGAAACCGTCAATATTGCGGTGCTTCAGCTTGTACCCATGCGTCCTTTCTCAAAGGATTGGCGGATAAGGTTAGAAATGCGACGTCCCAGGAGAGGGGGGGGGGCGGGTTGCAGTGAAAGTGAAGAGCGTCTCGTGGAATGCAGTGCCGTAAATCTGCCACAAAGGTCATGGCCGCTGAGCGGTGAGTCTTACAGTGATATGGACAGCTTCCTCCATGACCTTCACCAAACGTACGCTATTTTCTTTCACGTCTCTTCCTCTGGTTGGTACAGTGACCACCTAGCTTCTTGCAGGGTCGGCGTTCGATCCCCAATGGCCCAAGTGGTTGAACACTGTTCCTTCACTCCGTCCATACAGCCCAGATCACTGTCCAATAGCTGGGTTGTGAGTCTTATTACATTGTCCAGGGACACTGTATCATTACAGTGACACCAGGGACTGCCATAACACGAGCAGACACAACTAAGGTGAGGACATAAGAGAGGTTGTTGGGCCGCGAGGGAGAGGTTCTACGGCTTCCTCAGCCTAGATCATTATGTTACACAATTCCCGCGTTTTTCTCCTCTCTTTTAGCCACTGTTCGTACCCAAGTGATATCCACGGGCGCTGGCCCATTCATCCCTCCCTTCCTCGCTATACTTTCTCCCTCCCTCCTCTCTCCCTCTCTCTCTCCCTCCCTCCTCTCTCTCCATCTCTTAGGTGAACCAATTAATTTTACCCACGACCCCACCTCCAGTCACGCCCGAGAATGGGGAAAAAATACCCACATGTTAACCTTACAATAACTAGTTCACCTTAAACACTGGTCTTCTGCCGCGACCTCTCTGGTCGTGAGCTGCAGCCCGTGCAGCACCTTGCGCTCATCCTTCTGAGTCTTACTCAAGGCAACACGTCTCCTCCGTCTCATGGTGTGGGGTAGATAAGGGCGTCACGGGTCTATATGGCGGTGGGGAGAATGGCTCCTAGCGGGTCCGTAGTTATTTCAATGTTTCACTTCAGCCTCCTATTCCACCCCTCGCAGCAACCCCTCCCATATACCACCCCTACATCACCCCCATCCCTACGCCTATATATAATTTCCAACGCCCATCATTAATCCCTACCCCCCCCCCACATCAACCTCCACCCCTACATCACCCTCACA